TGACAAAGACTGTCAGGTGGAAACTTGATCACGTCGGAACCCTTGATAAAAGTGGTGACCATCGGGCTGTTCACTGATAAGGCACATTTTCCTCTTTCCAGGTAATGCTTTGGTACCTTGGGAAGGTAAAACCCTCCCCCATTCTACTGAAACTTGGGGGAAAAATTTTAAGCCTACAGAAAAGTTGCAAAAATAAAACAGTGAACTCTCATATATGCTTCATCTGGACCAAATTTTAATATTTTGCCACATTTGCTTTCTCTCTCTTTCTCTATGTATCTGTAAGTGTATATATCGTATCTGAGATATTTACAGACATAAGCTTATGAACCACACTGGAACATAAGTTGCAAACACCTCACTCCTAAATACTTCAGCAAGTATCTCCTAAAAACAACTGTATTCCCTCTTCTCACCATGATGTAATAATCAAATTCAGGAATTTTGACATTTGTCCAATCTTATAGCTAAAGCACAGTCCATACTCAGATTTCACCAAAGGTCCCAGTGTTGTCTCTTAGAGTCATTTTCCCCCCATTCAGTATCCGATCTAGGATCATGCTTTGTACGTCTTTGTCCTGTCTCTTTTGTGGCCTTTGATCTTTTGTGGAGCGCCTGTGCCTTTTTAAAAAAGAAATATCTTTGATGTTGGCTTTTTTTTTTTTTTGAAGGGAGCAGCCAGTCGTCTAGTAGAATGCCTGTGGTTTCTTAGGAATGGATTCGGGTTACACATTTTCAGCAGGAATCCTACGTAAATGTAGTCATGGTAGGCTCGCATCAGGAGTGAACAGTGTCTGTCTGCCCTGCTTTTGGTGGCGTTAGTTTTAGTCGCTTGCCTGAGATGGGATGTTAGGTTCCTTTATGATAAAGGGAGTTTAAAAGAAAATCTCTTTATAATTAATAGATATTCCAGGGGAAGGTTCTGTCAGGTGTACAGACAGATTTAACGTGATTTAATGCCACTGACAATGCTGGCTGGGATCCTAAGATTACTTGTAGGGTTGCAAAATGGTGTTTTGTAAATCTGCTGTTCCATCTACATGTATACCAACAAAAAGAAGAATTTTCTCTTTTGTTTTATTATTTATTTTTGAAAAGTATGTCAGTATGGGTTCACATTTTTAAAAAATTCAGCATGTTCTATGCTGTTTCTTTTCTTTTTTTTAAGATTTTATTTATTAATTTTCCAGAGAGAGAGAGAGAGCACACACAAGTGGGGGAGCACCAGGCAGAGGGAGAAGCAGGCTCCCTGCTGAGCAGAGAACCCAATGTGGGGCTTGACCCCAGGACCCTGGGCTCATGACCTGAGCCAGAAGCAGCCACTTAGCCTGCTGAGCCACTATTGATTTGTTTTAGACAGTGTGGTGCAAACGTGAGCATCCACACTGAGTGGGATAGGCAGAGGGAGAGGGAGAAAAGCAGACTCCCCACTGAGCCTGGGGCCCATCCCGGGGGGCTCAATCCCACAACCCTGGGATCATGACCTGAGCCACAATCGATCACGCAGGTACCCTGGTACGGGCCTCAGTTCCATTACTCTTTTTTGTTCTTCCACTTGTCCCTAGTTGGATCAGGGATCCCCTTTCAAGCTAGTCCCTGCATCCTCTTCTGACGTGTCCCTCTCATTTTTTGAGTTTTTCCTTCCTCTGTGGCCCAAGTACAATTTTACTGCCTCTCCCCCGGGCTTCAGATGAGCGATTTCTTCTGGAAGCCCTTGCTTCTTATTTAGTGGGGAATGCTGTTAGAGACCGGGCGCTAAGTACGCTCACTGCTACTGACACCCGGGATTTTCTTCATCTTGCGCCATTCTGATCTGTGTCTTCCCTTTTTTGGCACCAGAATCCAGCTTCCTAAATATCGGTATATTTGCAAATGTGCTCAGCCCTACAACTGCTTAAGGGCTGCTGCCTCTAAGCTGCTCCCCCAGAAAGAAGTAAGGTTCAAGGTTTCTTTGCGGATCTTTTGTCTTTAGAGTGAAATGTAATCAAAGTACTGTATCCAAGAGTTACTAGAATACTTTTACCCCTTCCTGGGGTGGTATCATCATTTGATAGAAAGTTAGCTATGTTTATTTTTGTTTGTATCCAACTTTAGGCTTTCTGGCCCCATCCTTGTTGAGCTTAGCTTCCAAATGTATAAACGATGAGCATTCTTCCAAGGGTCCAAATCATGCAAAAATATGTACTCGGAGGAGCGCCCTCCCTTCCAAGGAGTGTTCCTCCCTCCCTTCCCTTCCAGCTCCTGTAGGTGACCAGCCTCATTTGTTTGCTGTCCTTACTGTGTCTCTTTTTGCAAAAATAAGCAGATGCCCATTTGTATTTTATTTTACTTATTTATTTGCTTAAAAGCTAGCATCCTGTATACTCTTTTGAGCGTTACTTTTTTTTTTTTTAACCGAGTGACAGAGTCTGGAACTATCATTGAACTCCACTCCAGTTCCCAGGGACCTTGCTCATTCTCATTTCACAGTGACACAGTCCTCTATTCCGTGATGTTTCCCAGTCTATCCCACTAATCCTCTATGTAAGTTCTTGTAGGTCATTCCAAGGGTTTTGTAGTTCCGGGTAATGACATGGATGAGCATGCGTCTGTGTCCTTTTGCGTGGATGGACAGAGAGCTCCAGGGTAATTACTGTGGGTTAGATGGCGGAGTTGAAGGGCCGACCCCTGCACGGTTTTGGCAGGCATGGCCAGATGCCCTTCCACTGGGGCTGGGTCATTTTGCATTTCCACCAGCAACGCATAACAGCTCATTTCCTCATTGCCCCCGCCTCATCGAAAGAATATGCTGTGAAACTTTTTTTTTTTTTTTAAAGATTTTACTTATTTATTTGTCAGAGAGAGAGAGAGCGAGCACAAGCAGGAGGAGCGGCAGGCAGAGAGGGAGAAGCAGGCTCCCTGCCAAGCAGGGAGCCCACCTTGGGGCTCCCTCCCAGGACCCTGAGATCATGACCTGAGCCGAGGGCAGGAAGACAGACGCCTAATGACTGAGCCCCCCAGGGGCCCCCAGTAACATTTTATTCACACGCCCTGACATGAGGAATCCATATACTTTGCAAACCGAGATACTACAATGGACAAAACATGAAGTTCACAGGATTTGGTGGTTGTGGTCTATTTGCCAAGTTGTGGGACCACCCCCAGGGCCTGACTTCACAACATTTTCATCACCCCAGCAAGAAACCTCATACCCTTTCGCGACAGCCAGTGGGAATCTCCCCTCCACCCCGCTCCTTGGCAACCACTATCCCACTTTCTCTCTCTACGGATTCGCCTATTTTCGACACGGCATATAAATGGAATCATACGCTATGTATCTGCCTTCTTTCTTTGAGCTTATTTTCCGAGTTCATCCATGTGGCAGTATAAATCAGTATTACATTCCTTTTTTTGGCTGAATAATATTCCTTTATACGGCTATCCCACATTTTGTTTATCCATTTAGTTGATAGACACTTGGGTTGTTTCCACTTTTCGGCTATTATGAAGAATGCTGCTACAAACATTCATGCAAAGTTTTTGTGCGAACATATGTTTCCTATTCTCTCGGGTGGAGATACCTAGCAGGGGAATCGCTGGGTCATGTGGTAATTCTATCTTTAACACTTGGAGGAACTGCCAAATGAAACTCCTATACTTTTTACATGCCACAAAATACCACTCTTCTTTTGATTTTTTCCCGACAGTTTAATCACAGAAAAGCCATTCTTAGCTCGCAGGCCATACAAAGGCAGGGGGTGGGCTGGATGGAGCCCATGGGCGGTCGTTGGCTGACCCCCGTTGTAGGCAGCGGGAGGAATACAGATTGCCAGGGGCTCACAAGTGTTTATTTGTCGGATTCTGGAGGACGATGCCGATGGGGATGACTTGGATTGATTTAGGGTAGGACACCTGATCACCTCCTTAAGCCACACTTGGTATGGCTGCTGCTTAAAAGAGGTTCAGCTTAAAGAAGTGGTAGTTGCCTCGTAACAATTTCTCAATGCAGACATCTCCTCTGCACCTTCTCCGTGTGCCTCTGTTCCCTCAACTGTCAGTGTTGATAAAAATGATACCCATGTGGAGGGGCAGCTGGGAGGTTTGAAGAAGTTGATACGTACACAGCACTGAGAACTGTGCCCAGCGCAGGGCAAGACCTATATGAGCAGTTGCTATTGTTTTATTAATATTATTACTGATGTCGTGGCTATTACTGTCCACACAGTTTCAACTCGGGCCTCATCCTCGTCCCCTTGGCATGTCACAATTAGTCTCTCTTCAGTCTCTTCCCAGAGCCAACCATCCTGCAAGGGTTCTTCTAACACTCTGAACTGAACCTGCCCTTCCTCTGCTCCAGACCTTCCATGGCTCCCTAGTGCCCTTGACATCGATGCCAAGCTCCACAGCTTGGCATTTGAGGCCCATTATGGCCGTGTCTCTGCCCCTTTCTCTGGCCTCATATTTTGTGGCTGGGGCCGCTGTTTTGGCTATATGGATGGATCAGTTCGGTGCTCCCTCTCCAACCCTTTGGCCACGCTGTTCCCTCTGGCTAGAGTGGTATAACTGTGTACTCTTCTCCCCAGGCCTCATCCTTTAGGACTTGGACAAAGGCCCTTCTTCCAGGAAGCTTTCCTTGACTTCCCCTGCACCACCCCCACCATCCCTGCCTGTCCCCTAGGTGGGTTGGTGTCTCTCCTGGACCCACAGGACTCTGTGCTGCTACTTCCTTGACTGCACATATCACCATTTATGTGACTACCCACCAGTGTCCCTAGTTGCCTTCCCCAGTTGCCCGTGAACTCCTGGACTGTAGATTAGGGGAGGGGGGAAGAGAAAGTTCATTCATCTCCGGAATCCCTGCAGCCGGCCAAGGCCCAGCACACAAAAGGTTTCAAAAAATGGATTTAGTTCAGGAATGAGCAGGGAGGAAAGGGGAGGGGATGGTGGTGAGATGGGGGAGGGGCAGGGGTTGGAGAGAGGGACCCTCCGCTAAGATACCAAGGGCGCCCTCTGCTCCCCAGGGCTCTCCTTGGTGGTGGGCTTGGTTCTCTACATTTCCAGCATCAACGACGAGGTCATGAACAGGCCCAGCAGCTCTGAGCAGTATTTCCACTATCGCTACGGGTGGTCTTTTGCCTTCGCGGCTTCCTCCTTCCTCCTCAAAGAGGTGATGTCTGTGGGGCCCAGACAGGAATGGAGACGGGTCTGGGGGAGGGAAGCTCATTCCTGGACCCAGGAGGAAGAGGAAACTGGGGGTATAGACTCTGGATTTAAAAGGGAGGTGGTGACTGAGGACCTAACCCCTGGTCCTGGAGGAGGGGTCTGGCAGCTCCCAACTTCTGGGGTCCTGGTGTGGGGGAGGGGCTGGGGGCCTGGGCTCACTCCTGGGTCTGAGGGAGGAGGGGCTGAGGGTCTGGACTCCCGGTCTGAGGGAGGAGGGGGCTGGGGTTTTGGACTCCAGGGAATGAGGGAGGAGGGCTTGGGGGTGGGTCTGGAGTCGTGGGGTCCTTGGGAGCTCGGGGCCGGCCTCTGGGACCCTGACCCTGCATTGCCACAGGGGGCCGGCGTGATGTCCGTGTACTTGTTCACCAAGCGCTATGCGGAGGAGGAGATGTACCGCCCGCACCCGGCCTTCTACCGCCCGCGCCTCAGCGACTGCTCCGACTACTCGGGCCAGTTTCTGCAGCCCGAGGCGTGGCGCCGCGGCCGCAGCCCCTCCGACATCTCCAGCGACGTCTCCATCCAGATGACGCAGAACTACCCTCCCGCCATCAAGTACCCGGACCACCTGCACATCTCCACCTCGCCCTGCTGAGGCCCGCCCCTCGGCTCTCCCTTCTCCTTCCCCTGCTCCTCCTCCTGCTCCACCTCCGCCCTTGGGGGTCCCCGGGCCCCAGGGCTCGGCTCCCTCCCTCGGGACTTCACGACCCTGCCCCCCCCAAGGATGCCGCGCACGCTTTAGCCCCGCCCTCTTCTCGGTGGCCCCGCGCCTCCGTGCAGGTCATCTTTCCAAGGGCTCCTCCCCCCTTAGGGGTCTCTCGACCTCCTCGGTCCCAGCCACTCGCAGACGGCCCCCCCTTTCTCCCTGGTCCCGCCCCCTCCCTCTGGCCCTCCGCTCCCCTCCAGTTCCCGGCGGCGGGTTTCCCTGCCCCGCGCACTGCACGCGGGGCGGGGGGCCAGCGGTGCAGGCGCCCACCCACCCTGAGCCCCGCAGCCTGCCGGCTCGCCCCAGGGGCGCTGGGCTGGAGAGTAGGTTGGGCAGCCGCCTGGAATGCCAACCAGCCTCTTCTCGCCTCGGCCCTACTTCTCTATTTCCCCGCCCAGTCTCATCTCCGGATCTTCTGGGCCCGCGGGTGCAGCGAGCCGTCTTCTTGCTGCGCCCGCAGCTGCGGGGTGGGGTGGGAGGCTGGAGGCCGGGGCGTACTCAACCCGGTGTCCCCCCCCTCCCCCAACTCAGTTCTCCGCTCCACTGGGAGGTCGCATTCTTCCTCACCGGCTGGGCTCTTCTCGGCCTCCTGAAGGTCACCTGCCTTTCAGGGGGTGCCGTCGGAAGGATCTCCTTGCTTTCTCAGCTGCCCTTGGCTTCTTTTTCTTTCTCTTCCTCTTCCTCGAGCTCTGTCTCCCTTCCTCCTTCCTTCCGCTCACCCAAAGCCCCTAGGTGCATCTAGCCCCGCACGCCACACGACAGGGCTGGAGACCCTAGGGTGGAGGGAATTCCTCCGTGCCATTTCCACACCTGTGCCGGCCTCTTCCCCCTCGAGGCCCCGTCGGGGGAGGGAGAGGCAGTAGCGGGGGTCGAAACCCCCCAAACCTCGAAGTCTTCCATTTTCTGGCACTCCCCCTCATTGAAGTCCCCCTTCCCATTTCAGACCCCCAACTCTGGCCTCTTTCAAGGGTCCGTCTGCCCCCTTGGACAGATTTGGGGGAAAGGTCACCAGAAACTCGCCCTTCCCCCCGTTAGGGGGGCGGGGGCGAGGTAGCACAGTGTTGTACACGGAACCAGAAAGGCCCCCGGGGTGGGGGGAGGGGGGCAGGGGAGGGACGGGGGCTTTTAGTTTGCATCTTAGGTGGGAGGGGGGAGGGGGGACCGCAGCAGTTAACCTGTCTTTACGCAGCGATTTTTAACGAGGCTGGGGGGGGGGGGGGGTGGGGGGGGGGGAGGGGGGGGGAGGGGGGGCCTGGCTCTGTTATTTGCCGTGTATCATATGTAAATACCGACAGAAACTTCAATAAACTTTATTTCAAACACGTCTCCGCCTGCCGAGGGGGAGGGGATCGGATACAGGGTCTGGGTCCTGGTGTCTGCCCCCAGGGTGGGGGCCTCTGAGTCCCGCAGAACAAGGTTAGGATGGTCTTTGTTAAGTTGCTTAATCATCCTCATTATTAACAGCAGCACTTTATAATTCACTCCGTGTAAAGCATGTAGGACAGCAAACGACACCCATCAGGATCAATAAAAATTAACTCTTGGTGTCACCATGACCACTTAGAGTACTGTTACTCTTGCACGCCTGCCTTCTACATTTATTGCTTCATCGGGTTTTCTCCCCAAGCCTACATGTTGAATTTCCTGAAGTCATTTTGCAGATAAGGCCCTGGAGGGGAGATGACCCACCTGGGGTCGGGTAGCTTCAAAGTGGCGGAGATCGAGCTGAAAGCAAGTTCATCTGGTGCCCAAGCCTCAGCTTCCCTGCGCTCCCACGGGGAGCAGCGGGCTCTCCCAATGCTCTGTTGGGAAACCATGGCTGCGTTTGTTGCGCCCCTACTGTGGGATGCACACGTTCCTCCCCAATCTCAGGAGAGGTTGCCCGCAGCCCCTGTCTGAGGCTTCCGAGCGGGCCCTGAGATCTGTCATCTCACCTACTCCACGGAGGGGCTGCAAACATCCTGGATGTTTAACAAGCTTCTCCTTGAAGTGTGTTGGAAAGGAAACAGCGCTAGCCCTTTGGCTCTTTGCCTTGTTGGGACTTAGGCTCTTGGGGGCGATCAGGACAGCTCCCACAATCAAGGCCACGCTCGTTGGATTCTCCCAAACCTCTTGGAACTAGACATTGCAAACAGCCCCATTTTGTAGAGGAAGAAACCAGCACACCGGAGATAAGATCACCCAGCTGGTAAGATGCCAGGGAGAAATTTCTCCCCGGCCTGTCTGATCCCAGAACCACCTCTCTCAAGTCACTTTATTTCACTACCATGACTTCGGTGCAAACTCATCCTGTGACCTTGAGAAGTCTTTTAATCTCTGGGGCTTCAGTTTCTTTTTCTGTAAAAAGGAGGGGGGATGGGCAGAAGGACTCCAAATCCCTCGGGAACAGGGAGAGTGGTGGGGGCAGGTTAGCAGGGAAGAAGACGATTCAGCAGGATCAGATTCCCTGAGGGAAATATTCTGAGTCATTTCCAATGGTTTCAGGAATTTCTGGAGGTCATGTTTGAGATCTGGGTTGGCAAAGAAGTTTCAGCTCCTTTGTCAAGAGGAATTAATTCCTACTGGCTGCCTGGAGCACGGTGTGGAGAGGGATTTTGAATATCTGTCTGCTCAGTGGGAAGGGATGTCCCCTTTGGTTGGATTGATTGGTGCTGTCTGCCATCCCCGTCGATTGGTGCTGTCTGTCTCGCCTGCAGAAAGGGCAGTTTTGGAGCAAGTGCTGGATGTTTGCTGGATATTTGCTCATTTTTGTCCAAAACTTAACAACCTAATGTCCTAAAGTTTAAGTTCTTTAAAAAAAAAAAAAAAACTGACCAAGATTTTTGTTTTTGTTTGGTTGGGTTGTTTTGTTTTTTACATTTTTGAAAATGGAATGGGATCTTAAAAGATTAAAGATTTCTTTATCTTTATTTATTTGTAAATTAATTTATTTATTTGAGAGAGAGACAGAGAATGAGAAGGAACAAGTTGGGGGAGGAGCAGAGGGACAAGCAGATTCCCCGCTGAGCAGGGAGCCGGATGCGGGGCTCGATCCCAGGACCCTGGGACCATGACCTGAGCCGAAGGCAGAGGCTTTAACCCACTGAGCCACCCAGGAGTCCCCAGGCACGCGTGTTTAAATCCACACACAGCTGAATACGTAGTGCATACATGGTCGTTTTGACACGGCATTTATCATTGTGTACACAGAGTTCTGCCCCTCCCAGTTTCACACGGCCATGTATTACGAAGAGTATTCAGTATTAGTTATATAATGCTACCTTATTGTTTTTCAAGGACACTTAATAACGACAGTTTGCATAAATTAATTGCATAATTTATTGACTGCTTCCTATGTGCCAGCCACTTTGCATCCAACAACCCAGGGAAGCTGGTGCTTTTCTTTCCATCCCATTTTTATAAAATGAGATTCTGGAGGTGCAGAGAGGTAAAGTAACCTTTTCCTGGTCCCACAGCTTATAAGCGGTCAAGCTAAGATTTGAAAGGTGGGGGTTTCCTGAACTGATCGCACTGAACCACTAAGCTGTATACTCTAAGTATGTTGAGCCACAAGGTTCCATCTGTTTACCTATCATCGTTTTATTTATTTTAAGAAGGCTCCAGTTTGGGGCACCTGGCGGCTCAGTGGGTTAAGCCTCTGCCTTCGGCTCAGGTCATGTTCCCAGGGTCCTGGAATCGAGCCCCCCCACCATAGGGCTCTCTGCTCAGCAGGGAGCCTGCTCCTCCTGCCCCCCCACCTGCCTCTCTGCCTACTTGTGATCTGTCAAATAAGTAAACAAAATCTTAAAAAAAAAAAAAAAAAGGCAGCTTCAGCCTGAACTCCAAGCCCTGTGGTTGAGAGTCACACGATCTACTGACGGAACCAGCCAGGTGCCCCAACTATCACCATTCTTACACCACATTACCCGCTCAGCTAATTTACAGAATAATACCACACGTTAGTAGTTCTCAAAGTGTGGCACGGGGACCCTGGGGCCTCCCTGAGACCTGATGAAGGGGTCCATGAGGTCAAAACCACTTTTACAAGAATACTGAGATGTGGTCTGCCGTTGTCACTTTCAGTCTCTCATGTGTGTATAGGGTCCAGGGTCTTCTTGTATCTACACAACGGGTGCTATCAGAGTAAACTGAATGCAGAAGGAGATATGAGAACCCCACTTTCTTCTGGTAGACCAAACACTGTATATATTCTCAAAAATATAAGCCAACACCACTGTATTTTTGCGTGCACTTGGGAAAATACAATTATTTTTCACTAAAATAAGTTGTCTAGATAAACATTCAATGATTTTATTATTTTACTGAAATTAATACAGGTTGTTAAGTCTCCCCCATTTGAATTTTGAATATGTTATGTGTCCACAGACATAACACGCAGAAACAAACGCTTTTGGAGGTCCCTTGGCATTTTTTTAAAAGATTTTATTTATTTATTTGACAGGCAGAGATCACAAGTAAGCAGAGAGGCAGACAGAGAGAGGGAGAAGCAGGCTCCCCACTGAGCAGAGAGCTGGATGAGGGGCTCGATCCCAGGACCCTGGGATCATGACCTGAGCTGAAGGCAGAGGCTTCAACCCACTGAGCCACCCAGGCCGGCCCCCCCTTGGCATTTTTAAGCCCATAGAGGGGTCCTGAGAGCAAACATGTAAAGCATCTCTGCTGTTTTTCAAATGTAGAGATTCTCCCCATTTTTCTTAACAGCTGTGTGTGTCCCTTGAATGGAGGTAACTTACTTTAGCAATAGCTCATTTTTTTAATTTAGTTTTATTTTATTTATTTATTTCAAAGAGAGAGAAGGAGAGAAAGCATGAGAGGGGAAAGATCAGAAGGAGAAGCAGGCTCCCCGCTGAGCAGGGAGCTGGATGCTGGACTCGATCCCAGGACTCCAGGATCATGAACTGAGCCAAAGGCAGTCACTTAACCAACTGAGCCCCCCAGGCACCCCCTAAACTC